TCTCTACAGTACTAACTAAACCTTCTCTCTACAGTACTAACTAAACCTTCTCTCTACAGTACTAACTAAACCTTCTCTCTACAGTACTAACTAAACCTTCTCTCTACAGTACTAACTAAACCTTCTCTCTACAGTACTAACTAAACCTTCTCTCTACAGTACAAATTAAACCTTCTCTCTACAGTACTACAGACGCCGATGGAAGAAGAAGGACGACTCAGTGGACGGCTGGTCTAAGAGCAGACGCCGGTGTCGAAAGATCAAGATTTGTGTCCTGATTGTTGCAGTCCTAGTGGGGGTCATCACGGGTATCGCCTTAGCCATCCACTTTGGTGCACCCTCGTCGCTCGGCGCAAGCAGCTCTACTGACCAAGCGGAAAACACGGGGGGTTTTTCGCGTGTCATTATCTAGAGGGAGCTTTTCTCATGTCAGTATTTTAAAGGGGGCTTTTCTCATATCAGTATTTAAAGGGAGGCTTTTCTCATATCAGTATTTAAAGGGGGGCTTTTCTCATATCAGTATTTAAAGGGGGGCTTTTCTCATATCAGTATTTACAGGGGGGCTTTTCTCATATTATTTCATATATAGAGGGCTATCTCCTGCATTATCATATAGAGAGGCTGCTTTTTTGTCATTTATATAGGGGGCTATGTCTTGTCTTTTCATATAGTGGGGTTATTCTCTTGTCTTTTCATATAGTGGGGTTATTCTCTTGTCTTTTCATATAGTGGGGTTATTCTCTTGTCTTTTCATATAGTGGGGTTATTCTCTTGTCTTTTCATATAGTGGGGTTATTCTCTTGTCTTTTCATATAGTGGGGTTATTCTCTTGTCTTTTCATATAGTGGGGTTATTCTCTTGTCTTTTCATATAGTGGGGTTATTATCTTGTCTTTTCATATAGTGGGGTTATTATCTTGTCTTTTCATAGAGTGGGGTTATTCTCTTGTCTTTTCTTCAACAGCAGCAAGCGCTAAGCCAGTCTCCTTTTATATATAGTGTGGCTGCTCTCCTTTTATATATAGAGGGGCTGCCGCTGCTTTCCTCTTAAATATAGAAGGGCTGCTTTCCTTTTATATATAGATGGGGCTGCTTTCCTTTTAAATATAGACGGGCTGTCGCTGCTCTCCTTTTAAATATAGAGGGACTGCTCTCCTTTTATATATAGAGGGGCTGCCGCTGCTCTCCTTTTAAATATAGAGGGACTGCTCTCCTTTTATATATAGAGGGGCTGCTTTCCTTTTAAATTTAGAGGGGCTGTCGCTGCTCTCCTTTTAAATATAGAGGGACTGCTCTCCTTTTATATATAGAGGGGCTGCTCTCATGTCTTGTCATATATGGAGGGGCTGTACTGTTGTCTTCAGATGTAGATGAGTTTTAATTTAATTTTTCTAATGAACATGTGTTCTCATCATTTTGAAATCAACCACTAGGCCAAATTTTAAAAGCCCAAAACCATTTTTATTTTTATAGTATCTTACAATGAAATATCAAAAACACAATTTAACGTGAAACGCCTTTCATTTTGGGGTCTCAAAACATCCACCACTTACTTATGCCACAATTTTTTATAGTGCATTACCATATTTAAAAAACCTTAATTTTTTTTACATAATTACAAAAGATTATAAAAATTTACAAGCATTTGATATAAAAAAACAGGGCCAGATCTTGTACATACTTAAAACTTGCATGACATCCAAGACCAAGTAGTAGGGACCTCCTCAATGGGCTTTCCTTTTATAAAAAGCTTTAGACATAAGAATTGCCATGCTATATTATTTAGTACTATGAAACTCATATCACTCCATATTATGTAATGAAATATATATATATATATATATATATATATATATATATATATATATATATATATATATATTATTTATAGCTTTCCATAAAAAATGTACCAGGATATATTTATTTTCAATGCAGTTGTACAGTATCAGATATATATATATATATATATATATATATATATATATATATATAGGCCTATATATATATATATATATATATATATATATATATATAGTATATAATCTTTATAATTCTTGTTATATTTATCACATGATATTAAAATTAAATAGATTTTTATAACATAAACCTATTTGATAATTAAATATCAATATCATATTTAATTAATTTTATATTTTACAAATTATTTTTGTAGGCACTTGTTTAGTAGGATCTAATTTTAATTTAATGATGACTATTTTTATATTGAAAATTTAATGAATTTTAGAATATTAACAAGTAGGAAGAGCAAAATACTTTTTTTGTGTGAAAATTGTTAATGTTATTAGATATAGACTTATAGACTCTAATGATTCTAGAATCTAGATCTAGATCTAGTCTATTCATAAATCTTTAATCTAGATTCTATTATAATTATTATTAAAAATGAAATTAATATTTATTTTATAATAACACAATAATAATTACACTAGTCTATTTTCACAACAAGCTATTTTCTAAATTTTCATTTTAAAAAGCAATAAGTGATAAGCAATAATCAAAAAGGTTTAATCTAGATCTAGATCTAGAATCTAGTCTGGAACTTGTCTTTTAAAAGCATTTATGGGCGAAACTTTAAAAAGGCCAGAAGAGAGATAACTCATGTTAACACTTGCCAGATCTTTTTCAGCTAAATTGTAAAATAACAGATCAAACATTTTAGCCGCACTAGTGCGATTTTTCTAAAAACCTAACTAGCCTCGACTTTTGTTATTACTTGTTACTTTCCTTTAATAATAAACTAATACAACTGTGACATTGCATAATTACGTAATTTCTCACATGTATGCGATAATGCGATTACTGAGAATAATAATAATAAACCAAAATTTTGAGCTGTGATATTTATAGACATATTGTAGGTCTAACCGTAGGTAATTTAGATGGAATTGTAACGTGTGAAAGATGGTTTATTTGTATTTGTTTCTTCACAGTTACCGAGACTGTTTATAACTTTATTTATAAAACGTCTATGTTGCTGAAATCAGTAAAGCCACCGAGTTCAAGCTATTGTTGTCCTCATAGGACTGTCTGTTATGTCAACTGAAAAACTGATGGAACATTCTTTAATTCTAACAATATGATATATATATATATATATATATATATATATATATATATATATATATATATATATATATACATATGTTAAAGCACTAATATTTTCATTCACAGAGTTGTTGTTGGCCATTCTAAAAGTGACCTTATGGTAAACTGTGCTATTATTGACAATCTACATCGAGTAAACGTATAAGCCTCTTCATTATTTACACTCGCGTATCCCCCCTCCCCCATACACACACTAACATATGCTAACCAACATCTAACATGTTATTTTAATGTTATCATTAAAAAAAATAACGTTAAAACAAAAAGTCACACACGTGGGGGGGGGGGGGGGAGGGGAGAGTCCAAACAGTAACTTAAAGGAAAATGTGGTCCGCCTTCATAGGGGCCTACGATGTGCTACGTGGGAAATTGGGAGAATTATTACTTCCGTGCATCTTTACACCACAAACAATGAACGTTTACTACTAAAAACACTTCCTATTACATTGTCTAAACATTTTCTTGTTGAACTGTTTTGCACTAAGATGTGATGATTATTGAATATTTTTTTTAAAATTTGTCTCGTGCATATTTTATATTATTATGTGCTTAGTGGTCTAATAATGTTACAACAATGCTCAAAACATTCGTGTTCAAAAGTCTACCATAACGTGATGCATGATGGAAAAAAGAGAAATTATAATTTAATATAGTGGCCTTTTAAAACCCATTCCTCTTTATGTTGATTTTCTACTACATGACACCTGCATTTTGCTCAATGTGTAACATAACCGGTGTCTTGCATGTTGGATGAATGCGTTTTCCATCTCTTCAATTAGTAAATCAATTGTGTCCATACACTACACATTTTTCTCACACCAATTTTTTTCATGGTGTAGAATGCCAAGAAAGATGACGTCAATAAAATTGTTTCATGTGAAATTTCTTTCATTTGTTTGTTTATATATATAGGCCTATATATATATATATATATATATATATATATATATATATATATATATATATATATATATATATATATATATATAGTTTTTAATGCTATAATACTTTTGGGGAGTATACAAAAATGAATCATCTTAGGGATCGTATACCTCCATTCAAAATTATGAATGTTGTAAAACCATTGTTATTTACAAATGTATACTTATAGGCATAGGCCATATCATACACACACATATATATGTATATATATATATATATATATACAGTGGCGCAGGCAAGGGGGTACCCCTATATAATTATATATATATATATATATATATATATATATATATATATATATATATATATATATATATATATATATATATATATATATATATATGATTGTATACCTATGGAAATGTGTTTGAACCCCTCCCATGACAAATTCCTGGCTACGCCACTGTATATATATACATATATATATATATATATATATATATATATATATATATATATATATATATATATACATATATATATGGTGAACGGAAAAAAGTCACATTTTTTGCTAGGAAAAATGTTACAGAAAAAAGTCTCAAAGGAAAAATTTTATCGAAAAAAGTCACAGAAATAAAGTTACAGAAGAAAAGTCACAAAACTCTTTTAAGAAATAATTTGCTTTTATTGTTAATAATTGTAAAATTGTGTGTGTTTATTGGTGTGTGTTGTTTTTGTTTTGGTAGCCTAATATTAATAATATACGTAAAAGCAGTAAGGTTTATAACAATAATACGTAAAAAATAATATGACGTAATTTACACAGCAACCTCAACTTTTGTTACGTGTTTAGTTATATACGCGGTAGAAATATTAATTACAAAATGATAGGCATCGGACATAGAAATCTATTTCTACTTTCTAGATCTACAAATTTTATTTATTTCAATCGTTGCTCTGTTTTATTTTAGAGAGTTTTACTGCCAAACGAAATTTTATTTACGTTTGGCATAAAAGAGTTCAATATGACTTCCTTGTAAAATTTATTGACATAAAATATAAAATGGCTAGTTTCACTGCCGACGTTGAAGAGGGAGAGATTACAGATTCAGATGGTGAAAAGATAAACGAAGTAATGAAAATTTTGGTCATTATATGCTATATATAACGTTTAGATCTAGATCTAGATCAATCTTTGGATACAAACTAAAATTGCTAATAAAATTTAAAAAATGCAGTTGCACGGTAGGTAGGTGGTTGGCTACTCACTACTCTGACTCAAAACTGATTTTTCAAATCAGTCACACATCACAATAGCTAGAAATAGACTCTAGCTAGATCTAGATCTAATGACAATTAATTTTGGGTTTTCTGCATAGTACTAATAATTCTAAGAACGTGGATACCAATTTTAAATTTTATGTCTAGGACAATTAGAAAAAAAGTTATGCACTTACTTAAGAAACAGATTTTTTTTAGTAAAATCGCCCGCGACTTGTAATGTGAAAAACAGGTGACTCCTTAAATTTTAATAATTATTTCACATGTTGATGAGGATTTATGTTTTAAAAAATACAAAAATGTTTCCTTGTTTGTCAAGTTGTTTCATTTATGTAGGCCTACCTGTCCAGTTTTTAAACAATTGAATTAAAACTTTTCAGTAATAAATGAAGACTAGCGATGTTTCCAACAGATGCAACCATGCTCATTTACTATAGCAGCCATCTTGTTTAAGTATTATTTTTATAAACTTATAGAGCTAGATTCAGGGGTAAGCCACTCTATTTTACAAATGGCTGCTGTTTATATAGCAAATCTTGTTCGCAGTTAATTTCTGGCCTATATTGATATATTTAGCCATTGATTTGATTGATTTAGGTTTATTATTCATTTATCTATAATATTTGACACAAACATATCACAATACACATTTATTAAAGCCTTGACAATGAGGTAACATTTTTGTACATTACTAACCGCCGGCGATTTTAATACCCAAAACGATAGATTACCCAAAATCTATAACAGCTATACTATACCCATTCTCTAACTTAATTCCAGTAAAAGAGTAGATCAGTTGATGCCCCTATTTTTTAAAACTTGTATGCAAGTTAAAGATTTACATTTTTTGTCCTAAAAATCATACTACACCATATTTACCAAAAATTTGAAAGGACGAAAAACTCACAAAAATTACCAACTTTCACAAAACCACTAGAATTCTTCTATCTATTGCATGCACAATAATCACTTTTATATCGATTTAAAAGGGAAAATGTAACCTAATTATGTAAATTAAATTGAGTGTTATAAATAATGCAGTTAAATTTCTAGATTTGAGAAAATAAGGTGGGGGTTAAAATTGTATGCCTCAACACGGCTTTGAGTCAGTATTTGACAAAACATTAATAAAATATTACGAATATGTGAAAAAAGTTAGTTATTTGTAACTACATTTAACCTACATTTAAAAAGAAATATTCTCGGTAAAATAATTTAGTGTTAGATAGCTGAAAAACTTTAATAAAAGTACACCATTTCTGAATTAAAATTGGGCCAAGATTAAAAGTAAGGTCCTATTATTAGACTTGTTTTTTTTTTTAGCAAATTACGACCTGTAAATGAAGAAAAAAGAAATACCGGCTGATAAAGTATAAGCCCATAACTGTATAGACTACTCGAATTATATATTTAGCAGATAGTTTGGACATTTTAAATCGGATAATCATTTCTTATTAGTGTTCTTATCGAAATTTTCTGTACTTTTCTCTCAACACGTTACTGGCGAAAAACTAGGTCAGCATGACCTTTACTAAATATATTGAAATTTTACAGATTAACTTTAGTTTTAAATTATAAATACTAAAATATTTTCACATTTTATTGTAGGCCTATTCTCTTTAATATTGAACTGTTTTTATTGTGATATAATGCGTAAGAAAAAATAGATTTCTATTCAAGCACATCAGGGTTCTGATCGGGGCTGGGTTTATATTTTATTGGTAAAAAATTTTGAAATGCGTCGGCGAACGACACATTGTTTTGGTATTGCAGTTTGCCATTTGCACCTTGTTTGATATTGTAAAGATATTTCCGCATTTAAATAGAAAATGGACGATCTTTCTAACCATGCTAGTAGAAAATTTGTATTTTTAGTGCATTTTGGTGAACATTCTACTTTTTGGAGAAAATTTGAGAATTTAGCTGTTGTTACTAAATTAATTTATTGACATTTTATACAAGACTATAGATCATTCAATCCTGCGTACATTAAGCTAGGTTTAGAATTTGTGTGTCACATGCCGCCGAAGCGCAAAGCATCAGAAAGTGATAAGGGTAAAATGGGTCTGTCTTTTAGCCAATAAAAATCGTTGGGGTGAAGTTTTTCAAGCTACAAAAACATGTATTCTTCCTTTACCAATATAAAAACAAACAACACATTAATGTAGAGCTTATTTGGATTTCCTGTGATTGCCTGCCCATGTTTTCTTGTCAATGGGGGGAAAATCCTGACAGGGTATAGGGGTCACTGTGAGTTTGGTTTAGATATCACTATCCCAATTTGATGATGTCATTTTGTTTCTCTCCCCCCCCCCCCCCCCCCCCCCCTCCCCCCCACCAGCAAAAGAAAATTGTGTTTGGGTCATTGTTAATTCACATGAGCTTGTAAGCCAACTACCACGCTTGCGGGATTGTAAGCCAACTACCACGCTTTCGGGATTGTAAGCCAACTACCACGCTTGCGTGATTGTAAGCCAACTACCACGCTTGCGTGATTGTAAGCCAACTACCACACTTGCGGGATTGTAAGCCAACTACCACACTTGCGGGATTGTAAGCCAACTACCACACTTGCGGGATTGTAAGCCAACTACCACACTTGCGGGATTGTAAGCCAACTACCACACTTGCGGGATTGTAAGCCAACTACCACACTTGGGGGATTATCGTTACAGAAACCAGGCTTGGAAGATGTGGCCTTTATTTCTTTTTTTTTTTGGTACTTTTAAAGACAATAAGGCTTTTTTTATTTATTTACGTGTAGCAATCAAATTTACACTGCTTATATTTATATTTCAGTATATATTAAAATTTTTGTCACTACAACTTTTTGATAGAACTACTGGTCAGAATTCTACAAGGTCTGAAAAATCGCACTCTTTCTAGTATGCAAAAACTTAAAAATTTGCTTATTATTTACCATAAACTTTTTTCTATGAAAGCCAATACAATTCCCTCGTGACAAAAGTTTTATTTTTGCTTAAAGAACAACTTCTGAAAATATAGTGGGCATTGTTTCATGAATAAAAAAGTAGAAGGCGTTTTAATGATAAAAAAACTACAGAGATAAACAGCAAAAAGTATCGAAAAGTAGGTCACAAAAATACCATTTCTGTGTAATTTGTAAAGCCGATTGTAAGCTTAGGGTGTTTCCGAGATGATGGAAATTACTATTATCAAATACATGAGAAATCCAGCTTTCCAATGATGCCAAATACAATATGATGATGGATATTAAACTCTTTGTAGGGAGGTTCTAAGGTTGGGGAAAATTATTATTTTTTAATTAATGAGGTGATAAAAATTGTATTTTCAACACATTAAAAATGTTCTCATTAAAGTTTTTATTTTCTTAATACAAAAATGGACAATGTATCCAAAAGTGCAGGGACCCATCATAGGTTGGCAACACAACTGGGTTTAGGTACCATGTTCTAATTCATATAAATTAATTTTTGTAGTGCCATGTAGAGACCAGAACAACGTCATTGACAATGTTTCAAACTTTATTTCAGCCACCACAGCAAATCTATCGCACCAAAATACCCCAAATTGTCATCAACTCAGAGGAGAGTAGTGATAGTGAAGATGACTACCCCAAACTGAAACGAACTCATGCTGGTAATGAAGATTACACCGTGCCTTTTGTCAACCCTTTGCTGGCAGCTAACCCACAGCCCAGTGTGAAGAAAAGAAACAACATCTGGGGCTCTGTGCTGACAGAGCAGGTGCTGGCCCAGGAGGTGAAGTCCTTCTCTGTGGGCAGCACAGTACTGGATGAGAGGGATGTTGAAAGCTACGACTACACCAAAGCCAGGGAAGATGAGAGACCAGCACTAAAGGTGCATGTCGTTGATGATTCCATATTTGCTGATGACACCAAGAGAGAGGACACAAGACAACGCAAAAGAAAACATTGTAAAGATAATGAATATTTTGGTAAAAAAAGGTTGAACAAGCACAGACTGAGAAGTCTGACAGTAACAGCAAACAGCAGCCTGCTGGAGGTGGTAGAGGCCATCACAAAGGGCTTGTCTGAACCCAAGGTTGAGCTCTTCAGTAAGTTGTCACTCTCATCTGACAGTAGGTTGTCACTCACTCTCATCTGACAGTAGGTTGTCACTCTCATCTGACAGTAGGTTGTCACTCACTCTCATCTGACAGTAGGTTTTCACTCTCATCTGACAGTAGGTTGTCACTCTCATCTGACAGTAGGTTGTCACTCTCATCTGACAGTAGGTTGTCACTCTCATCTGACAGTAGGTTGTCACTCACTCTCATCTGACAGTAGGTTGTCACTCTCATCTGACAGTAGGTTGTCACTCTCATCTGACAGTAGGTTGTCACTCTCATCTGACAGTAGGTTGTCACTCACTCTCATCTGACAGTAGGTTGTCACTCTCATCTGACAGTAGGTTGTCACTCTCATCTGACAGTAGGTTGTCACTCTCATCTGACAGTAGGTTGTCACTCTCATCTGACAGTAGGTTGTCACTCACTCTCATCTGACAGTAGGTTGTCACTCTCATCTGACAGTAGGTTGTCACTCTCATCTGACAGTAGGTTGTCACTCTCATCTGACAGTAGGTTGTCACTCACTCTCATCTGACAGTAGGTTGTCACTCTCATCTGACAGTAGGTTCTCACTCTCATCTGACAGTAGGTTGTCACTCTCATCTGACAGTAGGTTGTCACTCTCATCTGACAGTAGGTTGTCACTCTCATCTGACAGTAGGTTGTCACTCTCATCTGACAGTAGGTTGTCACTCTCATCTGACAGTAGGTTGTCACTCTCATCTGACAGTAGGTTGTCACTCATTCTCATCTGACAGTAGGTTGTCACTCTCATCTGACAGTAGGTTGTCACTCTCATCTGACAGTAGGTTGTCATTCTCATCTGACAGTAGGTTGTCACTCTCATCTGACAGTAGGTTCTCACTCTCATCTGACAGTAGGTTGTCACTCACTCTCATCTGACAGTAGGTTGTCACTCACTCTCATCTGACAGTAGGTTGTCACTCTCATCTGACAGTAGGTTGTCACTCTCATCTGACAGTAGGTTGTCACTCTCATCTGACAGTAGGTTGTCACTCTCATCTGACAGTAGGTTGTCACTCTCATCTGACAGTAGGTTGTCACTCTCATCTGACAGTAGGTTGTCACTCACTCTCATCTGACAGTAGGTTGTCACTCTCATCTGACAGTAGGTTGTCACTCACTCTCATCTGACAGTAGGTTGTCACTCTCATCTGACAGTAGGTTGTCACTCTCATCTGACAGTAGGTTGTCACTCACTCTCATCTGACAGTAGGTTGTCACTCACTCTCATCTGACAGTAGGTTGTCACTCACTCTCATCTGTCAGTAGGTTGTCAGTCTCATCTGACAGTAGGTTCATGATTACATGAAGCATGATTACATAAACCATGATTACATGAAGCATGATTACATAAACCATGATTACATGAAGCATGATTACATAAACCATGATTACATGAAGCATGATTACATAAACCATGATTACATGAAGCATGATTACATGAAGCATGATTACATAAACCATGATTACATAAACCATGACTACATAAACCATGATTACATGAAGCATGATTACATAACCCATGATTACATGAAGCATGATTACATGAAGCATGATTACATAAACCATGATTACATGAAGCATGACTACATAAACCATGATTACATGAAGCATGATTACATAAACCATGATTACATGAAGCATGTATTTCTTCAGCCCAGATAGTGCAGGCCGTGGGGCATGAGACAGCCATCAAGTTGTACCAGATGACAGATCAAGTGGAGGCAGCTGGTGGCATGATGACATGTGTAATAGCCCACTCTTACCTTCTCATGTCTTGTGTGTAATAGCCCACTCTTTGGTTTACCCTCTCATGTCTTGTGTGTAATAGCCCACTCTTTGGTTTACCCTCTCATGTCTTGTGTGTAATAGCCCACTCTTTGGTTTACCCTCTCATGTCTTGTGTGTAATAGCCCACTCTTTGGTTTACCCTCTCATGTCTTGTGTGTAATAGTTGCCCTATATGTTGTATGTACCAGTTATATGTTGTATGTACCAGTTATATGTTGTATGTACCAGTTATATGTTGTATGTACCAGTTATATGTTGTATGTACCAGTTATATGTTGTATGTACCAGTTATATGTTGTATGTACCAGTTATATGTTGTATGTACCAGTTATATGTTGTATGCACCAGTTATATGTTGTATGCACCAGTTATATGTTGTATGCACCAGTTATATGTTGTATGTACCAGTTATATGTTGTATGTACAAGTTATATGTTGTATGTACCAGTTATATTTTGTATGTACCAGTTATATGTTGTATGTACCAGTTATATGTTGTATGCACCAGTTATATGTTGTATGCACCAGTTATATGTTGTATGCACCAGTTATATGTTGTATGTACCAGTTATATGTTGTATGTACCAGTTATATGTTGTATGTACCAGTTATATGTTGTATGTACCAGTTATATGTTGTATGTACCAGTTATATGTTGTATGTACCAGTTATATGTTGTATGTACCAGTTATATGTTGTATGTACCAGTTATATGTTGTATGTACCAGTTGTATGTACCAGTTATATGTTGTATGTACCAGTTATATGTTGTATGTACCATATGTTGTAGGATGGGTACAGACGCCGCAGCCCTGGTGGAGTGTACATACAGTTGCTCAAGTCTGACTCCAGTGTCCCCAGTGAAACCATACAAAAGTTGTTTGAGGCAGACCAGCTACAGTGGAAGAAAAACATTCAAGAGAGAAGAAAAATGTAAGAAATTTATTTTCTTTAGAGATCTGTGCCCCTTTTAAAGAGCACTTGAGGGATACATTGGGCCACTACATTTGTTTTAAAGAGCACTTGCCACCAGGGATAATGCATTGATGAAACCCTACTAAAATGTTTAGTCACTCTAGTGTGTAAGACTAGACCGCAGCATCACAAGATTGATATGCTAGTAACACATTTTGTTGTCATTGGGAAAGAGATTTTGATGTATACAATGTGTAGGTGTCAATTTCTCATCTCTTGGCCGCCCATATTTCATTCTGTTGTAGCCTAATAGTCAAGTTGTTTTTTTAGCGCAATTTCCATACTGGACAATTGCGATTATTAACTCGTTCTGGATGGATGTGTGTCCAATGTGTGTCCGCAGCTTTAAGTCGTATCTCCTCCTCAATGAAGCAATATCGAGGACTAGTTCCAAAAGCAAATATGTTAAGCAAGTTCCGAGGATGATTGTGGGCCAAAAAAATTCCCGGAATTCCTTCCTGGATTTCCTGGAAAAGCTAAAAAACCTCGAAAAAATGCAGTTTTTGGCCCATATCTCAGCAACCAGACCACTTAGCGACTTGAAACATTTACCAATCGATTCCTGCCATAATTTAGAACAATATTGCCAAAGAAAGTTTTCAAAAATATCCTTTCATTCGGTCACAAAAAATTAATTAAGGAAATTGCGCTTAAATTGTCACTAGACTTTTTATTAACTTGTTTGTACAGAAAAAAAGCTGCGCGCAGAAAATTTAAAAAGCATAAGAAAAAGATGGAGGTGGACGCCATAGACCAGGTGTTGGCCCCCCCTGAAGACAGCAATGACAACAGTGACTTGCTGGACAGGCCAACCACACCTGAGCCTAAAGATGACTCATCTGATGGCCCCTGGGGGCCGGCCGAGGAAGAGGAGGATGAAGATATTGCTGAAGCCATAGCCAAAGCTAAGGCAGCCCTCATCAAACGCCAGAGGGAGCTAACAATGTGTGCTAGTCAGGGGGACAACCCAAGTAATGATGCTGGTGATATGGAAGAGATGACTTGATATAACGTATGATGTTGGTGATATGGAAGAGATGACTTGATATAACGTATGATGTTGGTGATATGGAAGAGATGACTTGATATAACGTATGATGTTGGTGATATGGAAGAGATGACTTGATATAACGTATGATGTTGGTGATATGGAAGAGATGGCTTGATATATCATTGTTGTATGATGCTGGTGATATGGAAGAGATGACTTGATATATCATTGTTGTATGATGTTGGTGATATGGAAGAGATGACTTGATATAACGTATGATGTTGGTGATATGGAAGAGATGACTTGATATATCGTATGATGTTGGTGATATGGAAGAGATGACTTGATATATCGTATGATGTTGGTGATATGGAAGAGATGACTTGATATATCATTGTTGTATGATGTTGGTGATATGGAAGAGATGACTTGATATAACCTATGATGTTGGTGATATGGAAGAGATGACTTGATATATCATTGTTGTATGATGTTGGTGATATGGAAGAGATGACTTGATATAACGTATGATGTTGGTGATATGGAAGAGATGACTTGATATATCATTGTTGTATGATGTTGGTGATATGGAAGAGATGACTTGATATAACGTATGATGTTGGTGATATGGAAGAGATGACTTGATATATCATTGTTGTATGATGCTGGTGATATGGAAGAGACGACTTGATATATCATTGTTGTATGATGTTGGTGATATGGAAGAGATGGCTTGATATATCATTGTTGTATGATGCTGGTGATATGGAAGAGATGACTTGATATATCATTGTTGTATGATGTTGGTGATATGGAAGAGATGACTTGATATAACGTATGATGTTGGTGATATGGAAGAGATGACTTGATATATCATTGTTGTATGATGTTGGTGATATGGAAGAGATGACTTGATATAACGTATGATGTTGGTGATATGGAAGAGATGACTTGATATATCATTGTTGTATGATGCTGGTGATATGGAAGAGACGACTTGATATATCATTGTTGTATGATGTTGGTGATATGGAAGAGATGGCTTGATATATCATTGTTGTATGATGCTGGTGATATGGAAGAGATGACTTGATATATCATTGTTGTATGATGTTGGTGATATGGAAGAGATGACTTGATATAACGTATGATGTTGGTGATATGGAAGAGATGACTTGATATAACGTATGATGTTGGTGATATGGAAGAGATGACTTGATATATCATTGTTGTATGATGTTGGTGATATGGAAGAGATGACTTGATATAACGTATGATGTTGGTGATATGGAAGAGATGACTTGATATATCATTGTTGTATGATGTTGGTGATATGGAAGAGATGACTTGATATAACGTATGATGTTGGTGATATGGAAGAGATGACTTGATATATCATTGTTGTATGATGTTGGTGATATGGAAGAGATGACTTGATATAACGTATGATGTTGGTGATATGGAAGAGATGACTTGATATATCATTGTTGTATGATGCTGGTGATATGGAAGAGATGACTTGATATATCATTGTTGTATGATGTTGGTGATATGGAAGAGATGACTTGATATATCATTGTTGTATGATGCTGGTGATATGGAAGAGATGACTTGATATATCGTTGTTTTATGATGCTGGTGATATGGAAGAGATGACTTGATATATCGTTGTTTTATGATGTTGGTGATATGGAAGAGATGACTTGATATATCATTGTTGTATGATGCTGGTGATATGGAAGAGATGACTTGATATATCATTGTTGTATGATGTTGGTGATATGGAAGAGATGACTTGATATATCATTGTTGTATGATGCTGGTGATATGGAAGAGATGACTTGATATATCGTTGTTTTATGATGCTGGTGATATGGAAGAGATGACTTGATATATCGTTGTTTTATGATGTTGGTGATATGGAAGAGATGACTTGATATATCATTGTAGTATGATGCTGGTGATATGGAAGAGATGACTTGATATATCATTGTTGTATGATGCTGGTGATATGGAAGAGATGACTTGATATATCATTGTTGTATGATGTTGGTGATATGGAAGAGATGACTTGATATATGATTGTTGTATGATGTTGGTGATATGGAAGAGATGATGATATGATTGTATGAGGTAGGGAATGATGCTGGTTTATGTAAATATAGTTCCTGCTTGTATGAATGCTTTCATATTTTTATAGCAAACAATGTTAGAGAAACATTGATACAAGTTTTTATTTGCTTATGTTTTTGTTACCTTTTTGTAATTAGTTGTGTTATAAAATTTGACTTGAAACTTGAGTTTTGTCAAGATTTGCGTGACTCATCATTCTTATTGTCCTGTCGTATCTAATATCTTGTCAAAAGTTAGTCCTGATATTAGTTTATTTATGTACTCATATAATGGGGGATAGAGTAAGGACATTATTTATGTACTCATATACTGGGGAATAGACTGTAAGGACATTATTTATGTACACATATACTGGGGAATAGACTGTAAGGACATTATTTATGTACTCATATAATGGGGAATAGACTAAGGACATTATTTATGTACTCATATAATGGGGAATAGACTAAGGACATTATTTATGTACACATATACTGGGGAATAGACTAAGGACATTATTTATGTACACATATACTGGGGAATAGACTAAGGACATTATTTATGTACACATATACTGGGGAATAGACTAAGGACATTATTTATGTACTCATATAATGGGGAATAGACTGTAAGGACATTATTTATGTACACATATACTGGGGAATAGACTGTACTGGGTACTGAAATAGGTTCACTTGTGCATGTGTACTGACATTACACACTTAAGTAAATTACATCACATAAAAATAGTCTTTGCAGCACCATTGTTCCCCTCACATTGATATGTTTTTCAGTTGACCTTGACCCTCACATTGATGTGTTTTTCAGTTGACCTTGACCCTCACATTGATGTGGTTTTCAGTTGACCTTGATCGTCAGAATGATGTGTTTTTCGGTTGACCTTGACCCTCACATGATGAGTTTGGGGGTAAATCTGTCAGAAGCAAACCTGGAAATAAATAATTTTTTAATGCCCTCTTTTAACATGGTACAAGACCTTGGGTCGAAACGTCAGTAGTATTTGTAACTGTCTTTAACTTGTGAGTTAACGAACACTATCTTCTCTTAACGTGGTACAAGACTTAATGCCTTACATCCTCTCTGCTGCATGTCCTCTGTCCTACATGACCCCCTCACCACCCTCACCCTACTGACCTCTGCCCTGCATGACCCTCACCCTACATGACCCCTGTCAACCCCTCACCCTACATGACCCCTGTCAACCCCTCACCCTACATGACCCCTGTCAAGCCCTCAGCCTTCCACGCCCCGCCTGTACCTGCGATGCAGGCGGTCATCATGTTGGTCAGCATGCCGCCGTAGAGCGCCGAGACTGCCAGCTGGGAGACGAGGTTGATCTTGCTGGGCAGCACAGAGCGTAGCGCCGCCAGCTGGATGCCCACAGAGCCGAGGTTCGCGTACCCACACAGTGCATAGGTAGCCAGGAGCTCGGACCTCACCTAGACGTCCATAGGCTTGGTCAGGTGGTTGGGGGTGGGGGTCATCTCATGTTTGGGGTGGTTGAGATGTTTGGGGGTGTTTGAGAGTAATTGAGATGTTTGAGGGTCGTTCATGTCATATTTGGGGTGTTTGAAAGTAATTGAGATGTTTGAGGGGCGTTCATGTCATATTTGGGGTGTTTGAAAGTAATTGAGATGTTTGAGGGTCGCTCATGTCATATTTGGGGTGTTTGAAAATAATTGAGATGTTTGAGGGTCGTTCATGTCATATTTGGGGTGTTTGAAAGTAATTGAGATGTTTGAGGGTCGTTCATGTCATATTTGGGGTGTTTGAAAGTAATTGAGATGTTTGGGGGGTGTAGTCCGATGAGAATCTAATGGCAACTTTATCTACCTTTAACTTAGGGCCATCAAGACAATGGGTCCGTGTTTTGATCATCGTGGCCAGTCTCTCGTAAGCCACAAATTCATTGATACAAGTCTTGATGACAAACAGCTGGGCCACAAGAGCGGCGTCTTCCCACTCGACCCCCATCAAGTAGACCAGGGGCTGGAGGAGGGTGCCACAGATCATCTGAAACAAATACATAGGGGAGGCAACCTAGTAGTCTCTACACGGGGAGACAACCTAGTAGTCTCTACACGGGGAGACAACCTAGTAGTCTCAGGGAGACAACCTAGTAGTCTCTACACGGGGAGACAACCTAGTAGTCTCTACACGGGGAGGCAACCTAGTAATCTACACAGGGAGACAACCTAGTAGTCTCTACACGGGGAGACAACCTAGTAGTCTACACGGGGAGTAAACCTAGTAGTCTCAACACAGGGAGACAACCTAGTAGTCTCAGGGAGACAACCTAGTAGTCTCTACACGGGGAGTAAACCTAGTAGTCTCAACACAGGGGAGACAACCTAGTAGTCTCAGGGAGACAACCTAGTAGTCTCAGGGAGACAACCTAGAAGTCTCAGGGAGACAACCTAGTAGTCTCTACACGGGGAGACAACCTAGTAGTCTCTACACGGGGAGTAAACCTAGTAGTCTCAACACAGGGGAGACAACCTAGTAGTCTCAGGGAGACAACCTAGTAGTCTCAGGGAGACAACCTAGAAGTCTCAGGGAGACAACCTAGTAGTCTCTACACGGGGAGACAACCTAGTAGTCTCAGGGAGACAACCTAGAAGTCTCTACACGGGGAGACAACCTAGTAGTCTCTACACGGGGAGACAACCTAGTAGTCTCTACACGGGGAGACAACCTAGTAGTCTCAGGGAGACAACCTAGAAGTCTCTACACGGGGAGACAACCTAGTAGTCTCTACACGGGGAGACAACCTAGTAGTCTCTACACGGGGAGACAACCTAGTAATCTACACAGGGAGACAACCTAGTAGTCTCTACACGGGGAGACAACCTAGTAGTCTCTACACGGGGAGACAACCTAGTAGTCTCAGGGAGACAACCTAGAAGTCTCTACACGGGGAGACAACCTAGTAGTCTCTACACGGGGAGACAACCTAGTAGTCTCTACACGGGGAGACAACCTAGTAATCTACACAGGGAGACAACCTAGTAGTGTCTACACGGGGAGTAAACCTAGTAGTCTCAACACAGGGAGACAACCTAGTAGTCTCAGGGAGACAACCTAGTAGTCTCTACACGGGGAGACAACCTAGTAGTCTCTACACGGGGAGACAACCTAGTAGTCTCTACACGGGGAGACAACCTAGTAGTCTCAGGGAGACAACCTAGTAGTCTCAGGGAGACAACCTAGAAGTCTCTACACGGGGAGACAACCTAGTAGTCTCTACACGGGGAGACAACCTAGTAATCTACACGGGAAGACAACCTAGTAGTCTCTACACAGGGAGACAACCTAGTAGTCTCTTCACAGGGAGACAACCTAGTAGTCTCTACACGGGGAGACAACCTAGTAGTCTCAGGGAGACAACCTAGTAGTCTCAGGGAGACAACCTAGTAGTCTCTACACGGGGAGACAACCTAGTAGTCTCAGGGAGACAACCTAGTAGTCTCAGGGAGACAACCTAGTAGTCTCTACACAGGGAGACAACCTAGTAGTCTCAGGGAGACAACCTAGAAGTCTCTACACAGGGAGACAACCTAGTAGTCTCAGGGAGACAACCTAGAAGTCTCTACACAGGGAGACAACCTAGTAGTCTCTACACAGGGAGACAACCTAGTAGTCTCTACACGGGGAGACAACCTAGTAGTCTCAGGGAGACAACCTAGTAGTCTCTACACGGGGAGACAACCTAGTAGTCTCTACACGGGGAGACAACCTAGTAGTCTCAGGGAGACAACCTAGAAGTCTCTACACAGGGAGACAACCTAGTAGTCTCTACACAGGGAGACAACCTAGTAGTCTCAGGGAGACAACCTAGAAGTCTCTACACAGGGAGACAACCTAGTAGTCTCTACACGGGGAGACAACCTAGTAGTCTCAGGGAGACAACCTAGAAGTCTCTACACAGGGAGACAACCTAGTAGTCTCTACACAGGGAGACAACCTAGTAGTCTCTACACAGGGAGACAACCTAGTAGTCTCAGGGAGACAACCTAGTAGTCTCTACACGGGGAGACAACCTAGTAGTCTCTACACGGGGAGACAACCTAGTAGTCTCTACACGGGGAGACAACCTAGTAGTCTCAGGGAGACAACCTAGAAGTCTCTACACAGGGAGACAACCTAGTAGTCTCTACACAGGGAGACAACCTAGTAGTCTCTACACAGGGAGACAACCTAGTAGTCTCTACACGGGGAGACAACCTAGTAGTCTCAGGGAGACAACCTAGAAGTCTCTACACAGGGAGACAACCTAGTAGTCTCTACACAGGGAGACAACCTAGTAGTCTCTACACGGGGAGACAACCTAGTAGTCTCAGGGAGACAACCTAGTAGTCTCTACACGGGGAGACAACCTAGTAGTCTCTACACGGGGAGACAACCTAGTAGTCTCTACACGGGGAGACAACCTAGTAGTCTCTACACGGGGAGACAACCTAGTAGTCTCTACACGGGGAGACAACCTAGTAGTCTCTACACGGGGAGACAACCTAGTAGTCTCTACACGGGGAGACAACCTAGTAGTCTCTACACAGGGAGACAACCTAGTAGTTTCAGGGAGACAACCTAGTAGTCTCAGGGAGACAACCTAGTAGTCTCTACACGGGGAGACAACCTAGTAGTCTCTACACAGGGAGACAACCTAGTAGTTTCTACACGGGGAGACAACCTAGTAGTCTCTACACAGGGAGACAACCTAGAAGTCTCAGGGAGACAACCTAGTAGTCTCAGGGAGACAACCTAGTAGTCTCTACACGGGGAGACAACCTAGTAGTCTCTACACAGGGAGACAACCTAGTAGTTTCAGGGAGACAACCTAGTAGTCTCAGGGAGACAACCTAGTAGTCTCTACACAGGGAGACAACCTAGTAGTCTCTACACAGGGGAGACAACCTAGTAGTCTCAGGGAGACAACCTAGTAGTCTCAGGGAGACAACCTAGTAGTCTCAGGGAGACAACCTAGAAGTCTCTACACGGGGAGACAACCTAGTAGTCTCAGGGAGACAACCTAGTAGTCTCTACACAGGGAGACAACCTAGTAGTTTCTACACGGGGAGACAACCTAGTAGTCTCTACACGGGAACATTTTTATTGACAAAATAATATTTGACGAAAGTCTTTTTTGACCGATTTAACGCGGTTGATTGGTAATATTCAATATTTACTGTTTTGACGCCACTCACAAATTTTGCTGACAGCCCCCCCCCCCCTCCAAGACTTCAGACAGCCCCACGTCCCCACACACCACTAGTAATGAAATACATCCCAGACCAATTCGGCGTGTAAAAGCGCATTGAGGTCTAGAGATCCCAGTTCAGAGACAGGACTGAGAAAACAAGGGGAACAAACCTCAAAGTCAAGGCCATTGTAACAGACGATGTTCCCCAACCAGGCGATCACGTGATTGATGAAATACAGCACGGAGACCCACGTGATCAGGTGGGCGGTGATGCTGGCAACCAATGAGACAACAGAAGCAGCGCCACCTATGGCAGCTTCCATGATGTTAGTGTAAACCCTGAAACACAACATGCCCTTTAAACATTCACCCAATGAGATGCTGGGGCATAATGGTGGGGCACTATGCTGGGACTGGTGGGGCACTAGGCTGGGACAGGTGGGGCACTATGCTGGGACTGGTGGGGCACTATGCTGGGACTGGTGGGGCACTATGGTGGGACTGGTGGGGCACTATGGTGGGGCACTAGGCTGGTACTGGTGGGGCACTATGGTGGGGCACTATGGTGGTACTGGTGGGGCACTAGGCTGGTACTGGTGGGGCACTAGGCTGGTACTGGTGGGGCACTATGGTGGGGCACTAGGCTGGGACTGGTGGGGCACTATGCTGGGACTGGTGGGGCACTAGGCTGGGACTGGTGGGGCACTAGGCTGGTACTGGTGGGGCACTAGGCTGGGACTGGTGGGGCACTATGGTGGGACTGGTGGGGCACTAGGCTGGTACTGGTGGGGCACTAGGCTGGTACTGGTGGGGCACTATGGTGGGGCACTAGGCTGGGACTGGTGGGGCACTAGGCTGGTACTGGTGGGGCACTAGGCTGGTACTGGTGGGGCACTATGGTGGGGCACTAGGCTGGGACTGGTGGGGCACTATGCTGGGACAGGTGGGGCACTAGGCTGGGACTGGTGGGGCACTAGGCTGGGGCAGGTGGGGCACTATGGTGGGGCACTAGGCTGGTACTGGTGGGGCACTATGGTGGGGCACTTGGCTGGGACTGGTGGGGCACTATGCTGGGACTGGTGGGGCACTAGGCTGGTACTGGTGGGGCACTAGGCTGGTACTGGTGGGGCACTATGGTGGGGCACTAGGCTGGGACTGGTGGGGCACTAGGCTGGTACTGGTGGGGCACTAGGCTGGTACTGGTGGGGCACTATGGTGGGGCACTAGGCTGGGACTGGTGGGGCACTATGCTGGGACAGGTGGGGCACTAGGCTGGGACTGGTGGGGCACTAGGCTGGGACTGGTGGGGCACTAGGCTGGTACTGGTGGGGCACTATGGTGGGGCACTTGGCTGGGACTGGTGGGGCACTATGCTGGGACTGGTGGGGCACTATGGTGGGGCTGGTGGGGCACTATGGTGGGACTGGTGGGGCACTATGCTGGGACTGGTGGGGCACTATGGTGGGGCTGGTGGGGCACTATGGTGGGGCTGGTGGGGCACTATGGTGGGGCACTATGCTGGGACTGGTGGGGCACTATGCTGGGACTGGTGGGGCACTATGGTGGGACTGGTGGGGCAATATGCTGGGACTGGTGGGGCACTATGGTGGGACTGGTGGGGCACTATGGTGGGGCACTATGCTGGGACTGGTGGGGCACTATGCTGGGACTGGTGGGGCACTATGGTGGGGCTGGTGGGGCACTATGGTGGGACTGGTGGGGCACTATGGTGGGGCACTAGGCTGGGACTGGTGGGGCACTATGCTGGGACTGGTGGGGCACTATGGTGGGGCTGGTGGGGCACTATGGTGGGACTGGTGGGGCACTATGCTGGGACTGGTGGGGCACTATGGTGGGACTGGTGGGGCACTATGGTGGGACTGGTGGGGCACTATGCTGGGACTGGTGGGGCACTATGGTGGGACTGGTGGGGCACTATGGTGGGGCACTAGGCTGGGACTGGTGGGGCACTATGCTGGGACTGGTGGGGCACTATGGTGGGGCTGGTGGGGCACTATGGTGGGACTGGTGGGGCACTAGGCTGGTACTGGTGGGGCACTATACTGGGACTGGTGGGGCACTATGGTGGGGCACTAGGCTGGGACTGGTGGGGCACTATACTGGGACTGGTGGGGCACTATGGTGGTACTGGTGGGGCACTATGCTGGTACAGGTGGGGCACTATGGTGGGGCACTAGGATGGTACTGGTGGGGCACTAGGCTGGTACTGGTGGGGCACTATGCTGGTACTGGTGGGGCACTATGGTGGGGCACTAGGCTGGTACTGGTGGGGCACTAGGCTGGTACTGGTGGGGCACTATGCTGGTACTGGTGGGGCACTATGGTGGGGCACTAGGATGGTACTGGTGGGGCACTATGGTGGGGCACTAGGCTGGTACTGGTGAGGCACTATGGTGGGGCACTAGGCTGGTACTGGTGAGGCACTAGGCTGGTACTGGTGGGGCACTAGGCTGGGACAGGTGGGGCACTAGGCTGGTACTGGTGGGGCACTATGGTGGGACTGGTGGGGCACTATGCTGGGACTGGTGGGGCACTATGGTGGGACTGGTGGGGCACTATGGTGGGGCACTATGCTGGGACTGGTGGGGCACTATGCTGGGACTGGTGGGGCACTATGGTGGGGCTGGTGGGGCACTATGGTGGGACTGGTGGGGCACTATGCTGGGACTGGTGGGGCACTATGGTGGGGCTGGTGGGGCACTATGGTGGGACTGGTGGGGCACTATGGTGGGACTGGTGGGGCACTATGGTGGGGCACTATGCTGGGACTGGTGGGGCACTATGCTGGGACTGGTGGGGCACTATGGTGGGACTGGTGGGGCACTATGGTGGGACTGGTGGGGCACTATGGTGGGGCACTATGCTGGGACTGGTGGGGCACTATGCTGGGACTGGTGGGGCACTATGGTGGGGCTGGTGGGGCACTATGGTGGGACTGGTGTGGCACTATGGTGGGGCACTAGGCTGGGACTGGTGGGGCACTATGCTGGGACTGGTGGGGCACTATGGTGGGGCTGGTGGGGCACTATGGTGGGACTGGTGGGGCACTATGCTGGGACTGGTGGGGCACTATGGTGGGACTGGTGGGGCACTATGGGGGGACTGGTGGGGCACTATGCTGGGACTGGTGGGGCACTATGGTGGGACTGGTGGGGCACTATGGTGGGGCACTAGGCTGGGACTGGTGGGGCACTATGCTGGGACTGGTGGGGCACTATGGTGGGGCTGATGGGGCACTATGGTGGGACTGGTGGGGCACTAGGCTGGTACTGGTGGGGCACTATACTGGGACTGGTGGGGCACTATGGTGGGGCACTAGGCTGGGACTGGTGGGGCACTATACTGGGACTGGTGGGGCACTATGGTGGTACTGGTGGGGCACTATGCTGGTACAGGTGGGGCACTATGGTGGGGCACTAGGATGGTACTGGTGGGGCACTAGGCTGGTACTGGTGGGGCACTATGCTGGTACTGGTGGGGCACTATGGTGGGGCACTAGGCTGGTACTGGTGGGGCACTAGGCTGGTACTGGTGGGGCACTATGCTGGTACTGGTGGGGCACTATGGTGGGGCACTAGGATGGTACTGGTGGGGCACTATGGTGGGGCACTAGGCTGGTACTGGTGAGGCACTATGGTGGGGCACTAGGCTGGTACTGGTGAGGCACTAGGCTGGTACTGGTGGGGCACTAGGCTGGGACAGGTGGGGCACTAGGCTGGTACTGGTGGGGCACTATGCTGGTACAGGTGGGGCACTATGGTGGGGCACTAGGATGGTACTGGTGGGGCACTAGGCTGGTACTGGTGGGGCACTATGCTGGTACTGGTGGGGCACTATGGTGGGGCACTAGGCTGGTACTGGTGGGGCACTAGGCTGGTACTGGTGGGGCACTATGCTGGTACTGGTGGGGCACTATGGTGGGGCACTAGGATGGTACTGGTGGGGCACTATGGTGGGGCACTAGGCTTGTACTGGTGAGGCACTATGGTGGGGCACTAGGCTGGTACTGGTGAGGCACTATGGTGGGGCACTAGGATGGTACTGGTGGGGCACTATGGTGGGGCACTAGGCTGGTACTGGTGGGGCACTATGGTGGGGCACTAGGATGGTACTGGTGGGGCACTATGGTGGGACTGGTGGGGCACCATACTGGTACTGGTGGAGCACTAGGCCTGGTACTGGTGGGGCACTAGGCTGGGACAGGTGGGGCACTATGCTGGGACAGGTGGGGCACTATGCTGGTACTGGTGGGGCACTAGGCTGGGACAGGTGGGGCACTATGCTGGTCCTGTGTTGGGACTGGTGGGGCACTATGCTGGTACTGGTGGGGCACTAGGCTGGGACAGGTGGGGCACTAGGCTGGTACTGGTGGGGCACTAGGCTGGTACTGGTGAGGCACTATGGTGGGGCACTAGGATGGTACTGGTGGGGCACTAGGCTGGCACTGGTGGGGCACTATGGTGGGGCACTAGGCTGGTACTGGTGGGGCACTATGGTGGGGCACTAGGATGGTACTGGTGGGGCACTAGGCTGGGACAGGTGGGGCACTATGCTGGGACAGGTGGGGCACTATGCTGGGACTGGTGGGGCACTAGGCTGGTACTGGTGGGGCACTATGCTGGGACTGGTGGGGCACTATGGTGGGGCACTAGGCTGGTACTGGTGGGGCACTATGCTGGGACTGGTGGGGCACTAGGCTGGTACTGGTGGGGCACTAGGCTGGGACTGGTGGGGCACTATGGTGGGGCACTAGGCTGGTACTGGTGGGGCACTATGGTGGGGCACTAGGATGGTACTGGTGGGGCACTAGGCTGGGACAGGTGGGGCACTATGCTGGGACAGGTGGGGCACTATGTTTGGACAGGTGGGGCACTATGCTGGGACAGGTGGGGCACTATGCTGGGACTGGTGGGGCACTATGCTGGGACTGGTAGGGCACTATGGTGGGGCACTAGGCTGGTACTGGTGGGGCACTATGCTGGGACTGGTGGGGCACTATGGTGGGGCACTAGGCTGGGACTGGTGGGGCACTATGCTGGGACTGGTGGGGCACTAGGCTGGTACTGGTGGGGCACTAGGCTGGGACAGGTGGGGCACTAGGCTGGTACTGGTGGGGCACTATGCTGGTACTGGTGGGGCACTATGGTGGGGCACTAGGCTGGTACTGGTGGGGCACTAGGCTGGGACAGGTGGGGCACTAGGCTGGTACTGGTGGGGCACTAGGCTGGGACAGGTGGGGCACTAGGCTGGTACTGGTGGGGCACTAGGCTGGTACTGGTGGGGCACTAGGCTGGGACAGGTGGGGCACTAGGCTGGGACAGGTGGGGCACTAGGCTGGTACTGGTGGGGCACTATGCTGGGACAGGTGGGGCACTAGGCTGGTACTGGTGGGGCACTAGGCTGGTACTGGTGGGGCACTAGGCTGGTACTGGTGGGGCACTATGGTGGGGCACTAGGCTGGGACTGGTGGGGCACTATGCTGGGACAGGTGGGGCACTAGGCTGGGACTGGTGGGGCACTATGCTGGGACTGGTGGGGCACTATGGTGGGGCACTAGGCTGGTACTGGTGGGGCACTATGCTGGGACTGGTGGGGCACTATGGTGGTACTGGTGGGGCACTATGGTGGGGCACTAGGCTGGGACTGGTGGGGCACTATGCTGGGACAGGTGGGGCACTAGGCTGGGACTGGTGGGGCACTATGCTGGGACTGGTGGGGCACTATGGTGGGGCACTAGGCTGGTACTATGCTTATCTTACTGTGTCACTTGAAGTTTTTCTTGTTGCCTGCACACTTTGCTACGCCCAAGCTCTGGATACAAAATCTTTGATACGGCCAGTGAGGCAGGTGCGTTCATCACTGTTGCGGTAATTAGATGGACCGGTGAAATCTGTGTTAATTAGATGAACTGGTGAAATATGTGGTAATTAGATGAACTGGTGAAATATGTGGTAATTAGATGAACCGGTGAAATCTGGTAAATAGATGAACTGGTGAAATCTGTGATAATTAGATGAACAGGTGAAATATGTGGTAATTAGATGAACCGGTGAAATCTGTGGTAAATAGATGAACTGGTGAAATCTGTGATAATTAGATGAACAGGTGAAATATGTGGTAATTAGATGAACCGGTGAAATCTGTGGTAATTAGATGAACTGGTGAAATATGTGGTAATTAGATGAACTGGTGAAATATGTGGTAATTAGATGAACCGGTGAAATCTGTGGTAAATAGATGAACTGGTGAAATCTGTGATAATTAGATGAACAGGTGAAATATGTGGTAATTAGATGAACCGGTGAAATCTGTGGTAATTAGATGAACTTGTACAATAAAAATAGATGAGCAGGTTTACCCCCTGTGTGACGTAGGCCGCCATGACGTCACACGAGATAGTAGCGAAGCCGGTTACCATGACAGCGTGGATCTCAGACTTGGTCATGCTGGCCAAGAAAGACCGGATGTAGATGGGGGCTTCACCCTAAGACAAGATTTGTGGGGTGTATGGGGGCTTCACCCTAAGACAAGATTTGTGAGATGTATGGGGGCTTCACCCTAAGACAAGATTTGTGAGGTGTATGGGGGCTTCACCCTAAGACAAGATTTGTGAGATGTATGGGGGCTTCACCCTAAGACAAGATTTGTGAGATGTATGGGGGCTTCACCCTAAGACAAGATTTGTGGGATGTATGGGGGCTTCACCCTAAGACAAGATTTGTGAGGTGTATGGGGGCTTCACCCTGAGATAAGATTTGTGAGATGTATGGGGGCTTCACCCTAAGACAAGATTTGTGAGATGTATGGGGGGAGGGAGGGGGGCTTCACCCTAAGACAAGATTTGTGAGATGTATGGGGGCTTCACCCTAAGACAAGATTTGTAAGATGTATGGGGGCTTCACCCTGAGATAAGATTTGTGAGATGTATGGGGGCTTCACCCTAAGACAAGATTTGTGAGATGTATGGGGGCTTCACCCTAAGACAAGATTTGTGAGGTGTATGGGGGCTTCACCCTAAGACAAGATTTGTGAGGTGTATGGGGGCTTCACCCTGAGATAAGATTTGTGAGATGTATGGGAGCTTCACCCTAGGACAAGATTTGTGAGATGTATGGGGGGAGGGAGGGGGGCTTCACCCTAAGACAAGATTTGTGAGATGTATGGGGGGAGGGAGGGGGGCTTCACCCTAAGACAAGATTTGTGAGATGTATGGGGGCTTCACCCTAAGACAAGATTTGTGGGATGTATGGGGGGAGGGGGGGGGGGGGCTTCACCCTAAGACAAGATTTGTGAGATGTATGGGGGCTTCACCCTAAGACAAGATTTGTGAGACGTATGGGGGCTTCATCCTAAGACAAGGTTTGTGAGATGTATGGGGGCTTCACCCTAAGACAAGGTTTGTGAGATGTATGGGGGCTTCACCCTAAGACAAGATTTGTGGGATGTATGGGGGGAGGGGGGGGCTTCACCCTAAGACAAGATTTGTGAGATGTATGGGGGGAGGGGGGGGCTTCACCCTAAAACAAGATTTGTGAGATGTATGGGGGCTTCACCCTAAGACAAGATTTGTGAGATGTATGGGGGCTTCACCCTAAGACAAGATTTGTGAGATGTATGGGGGCTTCACCCTAAGACAAGATTTGTGAGACGTATGGGGGCTTCACCCTAAGACAAGATTTGTGAGATGTATGGGGGCTTCACCCTAAGACAAGATTTGTGAGATGTATGGGGGCTTCACCCTAAGACAAGATTTGTGAGATGTATGGGGGGAGGGGGGGGGGGCTTCACCCTAGGACAAGATTTGTGAGATGTATGGGGGGAGGGGGGGGGGCTTCACCCTAGGACAAGATTTGTGAGATGTATGGGGGGAGGGGGGGGGGGCTTCACCCTAGGACAAGATTTGTGAGATGTATGGGGGCTTCACCCTAAGACAAGATTTGTGTGGTGTATGGGGGGAGGGGGGGCTTCACCCTAAGACAAGATTTGTGAGATGTATGGGGGCTTCACCCTAAGACAAGATTTGTGGGATGTATGGGGGGAGGGAGGGGGGCTTCACCCTAAGACAAGATTTGTGAGATGTATGGGGGCTTCACCCTAAGACAAGATTTGTGAGATGTATGGGGGCTTCACCCTAAGACAAGATTTGTAAGATGTATGGGGGCTTCACCCTAAGACAAGATTTGTAAGATGTATGGGGGCTTCACCCTAAGACAAGATTTGTAAGATGTATGGGGGCTTCACCCTAAGACAAGATTTGTGAGATGTATGGGGGCTTCACCCTAAGACAAGATTTGTGAGATGTATGGGGGGAGGGGGGCTTCACCCTAAGACAAGATTTGTGAGATGTATGGGGGCTTCACCCTAAGACAAGATTTGTGAGATGTATGGGGGCTTCACCCTAAGACAAGATTTGTGGGATGTATGGGGGGAGGGAGGGGGGCTTTACCCTAAGACAAGATTTGTGAGATGTATGGGGGCTTCACCCTAAGACAAGATTTGTGAGATGTATGGGGGCTTCACCCTAAGACAAGATTTGTAAGATGTATGGGGGCTTCACCCTAAGACAAGATTTGTAAGATGTATGGGGGCTTCACCCTAAGACAAGATTTGTAAGATGTATGAGGGCTTCACCCTAAGACAAGATTTGTGAGATGTATGGGGGGAGGGGGGCTTCACCCTAAGACAAGATTTGTGAGATGTATGGGGGCTTCACCCTAAGACAAGATTTGTAAGATGTATGGGGGCTTCACCCTAAGACAATATTTGTGTGGTGTATGGGGGGAGGGGGGGGGGGCTTCACCCTACGACAAGATTTGTGAGATGTATGGGGGCTTCACCCTAAGATAAGATTTGTGAGATGTATGGGGGCTTCACCCTAAGACAAGATTTGTGAGACGTATGGGGGCTTCACCCTAAGACAAGATTTGTGAGATGTATGGGGGCTTCACCCTAAGACAAGATTTGTGAGATGTATGGGGGCTTCACCTTAAGATAAGATTTGTGAGATGTATGGGGGCTTCACCCTAAGACAAGATTTGTGAGACGTATGGGGGCTTCACCCTAAGACAAGATTTGTGAGATGTATGGGGGCTTCACCCTAAGACAAGATTTGTGAGATGTATGGGGGCTTCACCCTAAGACAAGATTTGTGAGATGTATGGGGGGAGGGGGGGGGCTTCACCCTAAGACAGGATTTGTGAGCTATTACCAACCAACATAACGTTGCAGCTATTACCTGGCCAACGAACCAACACAATCAATGTTTCAGCTATTAACTGGCCAACCAACACAATCAACGTTGCAGCTATTACCTGGCCAACCAACACAATCAACGTTGCAGCTATAACCTGGCCAACCAACACAATCAACGTTGTAGCTATTACCTGGCCAACCAACACAATCAACGTTAGAGCTATTACCTGGCCAACCAACACAATCAACGTTGCAGCTATTACCTGGCCAACCAACACAATCAAAGTTGCAGCTATTACCTGGCCAACCAACACAATCAACGTTGCAGCTATTACCTGGCCAACCAACACAATCAACGTTGCAGCTATTACCTGGCCAACCAACACAATCAACGTTGCAGCTATTACCTGGCCAACCAACACAATCAACGTTGCAGCTATTACCTGGCCAACCAACACAATCAACGTTGTAGCTATTACCTGGCCAACCAATTTAATCAACGTTGCAGCTATTACCTGGACAACCAACACAATCAACGTTGTAGCTATTACCTGGCCAACCAACACAATCAACGTTGCAGCTATTACCTGGCCAACCAACACAATCAACGTTGCAGCTATTACCTGGCCAACCAACCAACACAATCAACGTTGCAGCTATTACCTGGCCAACCAACCAACACAATCAACGTTGCAGCTATTACCTGGCCAACCAACCAACACAATCAACGTTGCAGCTATTACCTGGCCAACCAACACAATCAACGTTGCAGCTATTACCTGGCCAACCAACACAATCAACGCTGCAGCTATTACCTGGCCAACCAACCAACACAATCAACGTTGCAGCTATTACCTGGCCAACCAACCAACACAATCAACGTTGCAGCTATTACCTGGCCAACCAACCAACACAATCAACGTTGTAGCTATTACCTGGCCAACCAACACAATCAACGTTGTAGCTATTACCTGGCCAACCAACACAATCAACGTTGCAGCTATTACCTGGCCAACCAACCAACACAATCAACGTTGCAGCTATTACCTGGCCAACCAACCAACACAATCAACGTTGCAGCTATTACCTGGCCAACCAACACAATCAACGTTGTAGCTATTACCTGGCCAACCAACACAATCAACGTTGTAGCTATTACCTGGCCAACCAACACAATCAACGTTGCAGCTATTACCTGGCCAACCAACACAATCAACGTTGCAGCTATTACCTGGCCAACCAACACAATCAACGTTGCAGCTATTACCTGGCCAACCAACACAATCAACGTTGTAGCTATTACCTGGCCAACCAACACAATCAACGTTGTAGCTATTACCTGGCCAACCAACACAATCAACGTTGCAGCTATTACCTGGCCAACCAACACAATCAACGTTGTAGCTATTACCTGGCCAACCAACACAATCAACGTTGTAGCTATTACCTGGCCAACCAACACAATCAACGTTGTAGCTATTACCTGGCCAACCAACACAATCAACGTTGCAGCTATTACCTGGCCAACCAACACAATCAACGTTGTAGCTATTACCTGGCCAACCAACACAATCAACGTTGTAGCTATTACCTGGCCAACCAACACAATCAACGTTGCAGCTATTACCTGGCCAACCAACACAATCAACGTGCAGCTATTACCTGGCCAACCAACCAACACAATCAACGTTGCAGCTATTACCTGGACAACCAACACAATCAACGTTGCAGCTATTACCTGGCCGACCAACACAATCAACGTGCAGCTATTACCTGGCCAACCAACCAACACAATCAACGTTGCAGCTATTACCTGGCCAACCAACACAATCAACGTTGCAGCTATTACCTGGCCAACCAACACAATCAACGTTGCAGCTATTACCTGGCCAACCAACACAATCAACGTTGCAGCTATTACCTGGCCAACCAACACAATCAACGTTGCAGCTATTACCTGGCCAACCAACACAATCAACGTTGCAGCTATTACCTGGCCAACCAACACAATCAACGTTGCAGCTATAACCTGGCCAACCAACCAACACAATCAACGCTGCAGCTATTACCTGGACAACCAACACAATCAACGTTGCAGCTATAACCTGGCCAACCAACACAATCAACGTTGCAGCTATAACCTGGCCAACCAACACAATCAACGTTGCAGCTATAACCTGGCCAACCAACCAACACAATCAACGCTGCAGCTATTACCTGGACAACCAACACAATCAACGTTGCAGCTATTACCTGGCCAACCAACACAATCAACGTTGCAGCTATAACCTGGCCAACCAACCAACACAATCAACGCTGCAGCTATTACCTGGACAACCAACACAATCAACGTTGCAGCTATAACCTGGCCAACCAACACAATCAACGTTGCAGCTATAACCTGGCCAACCAACACAATCAACGTTGCAGCTATAACCTGGCCAACCAACCAACACAATCAACGCTGCAGCTATTGCCTGGACAACCAACACAATCAACGCTGCAGCTATTACCTGGCCAACCAACCAACACAATCAACGTTGCAGCTATAACCTGGCCAACCAACACAATCAACGTTGCAGCTATAACCTGGCCAACCAACCAACACAATCAACGCTGCAGCTATTACCTGGACAACCAACACAATCAACGCTGCAGCTATTACCTGGCCAACCAACCAACACAATCAACGTTGCAGCTATAACCTGGCCAACCAACACAATCAACGTTGTAGCTATTACCTGGCCAACCAACACAATCAACGTTAGAGCTATTACCTGGCCAACCAACACAATCAACGTTGTAGCTATTACCTGGCCAACCAACACAATCAACGTTGTAGCTATTACCTGGCCAACCAACACAATCAACGTTGCAGCTATAACCTGGCCAACCAACCAACACAATCAACGCTGCAGCTATTACCTGGACAACCAACACAATCAACGCTGCAGCTATTACCTGGCCAACCAACCAACACAATCAACGTTACAGCTATTACCTGGCCAACGAAGATGTTCCCTGCCGCGCACAAAGCTTCAACTCCCGTGACTCGGAGGGTGAGTTTGATGAGCAGGGCGACTCGTGTGATGACCGCCTCCAGCCATCCCAGGTAGTGCAGCACGTTCAGACAAGTAGAGAAGTAGATAATCACTGGGAGAACCTGGAGTCAGCAAGTAGAGAAGTAGATAATCACTGGGAGAACCTGGCAAGTAGAGGAGTAGATAATCACTGGGAGAACCTAGCAAGTAGAGAAGTAGATAATCATTGGAAGAAACTGTAGTCAGCAAGTAGAGAAGTAGATAATCACTGGGAGAACCTAGCAAGTAGAGAAGTAGATAATCATTGGAAGAAACTCTAGTCAGCAAGTAGAGAAGTAGATAATCACTGGGAGAACATGGAGTCAGCAAGTAGAGAAGTAGATAATCACTGGGAGAACCTGGCAAGTAAAGAAGTAGATAATCACTGGGAGAACCTGGCAAGTAGAGAAGTAGATAATCATTGAAAGAAACTTTAGTCAGCAAGTAGAGAAGTACATAATCACTGGAAGAACCTGGAGTCAGCAAGTAGAGAAGTAGATAATCACTGGGAGAACATGGAGTCAGCAAGTAGAGAAGTAGATAATCATTGGGAGGACTTGGAGTCAGCAAATAGAGAAGTAGATAATCACTGGGAGAACCTGGAGTCAGCAAGTAGAGAAGTAGATAATCACTGGGAGGACCTGGCAAGTAGAGAAGTAGATAATCACTGGGAGAACCTGGAGTCAGTAAGTAGAGAAGTAGATAATCATAGGGAGAACCTGGCAAGTAGAGGAGTAGATAATCACTGGGAGAACCTAGCAAGTAGAGAAGTAGATAATCATTGGAAGAAACTGTAGTCAGCAAGTAGAGAAGTAGATAATCACTGGGAGAACCTGACAAGTAGAGGAGTAGATAATCACTGGGAGAACCTAGCAAGTAGAGAAGTAGATAATCATTGGAAGAAACTCTAGTCAGCAAGTAGAGAAGTACATAATCACTGGAAGAACCTGGAGTCAGCAAGTAGAGAAGTAGATAATCACTGGGAGAACATGGAGTCAGCAAGTAGAGAAGTAGATAATCACTGGGAGAACCTGGCAAGTAAAGAAGTAGATAATCACTGGGAGAACCTGACAAGTAGAGAAGTAGATAATCACTGGGAGAACCTGGCAAGTAGAGAAGTAGATAATCACTGGGAGACACTGGCAAGTAGAGAAGTAGATAATCACTGGGAGAACCTGGCAAGTAGAGAAGTAGATAATCACTGGGAGAACCTGGCAAGTAAAGAAGTAGAGAAGTAGATAATCACTGGGAGAACCTGGAGTCAGCAAGTAGAGAAGTAGATAATCACTGGGAGGACCTGGCAAGTAGAGAAGTAGATAATCACTGGGAGAACATGGAGTCAGCAAGTAGAGAAGTAGATAATCACTGGGAGAACCTGGCAAGTAAAGAAGTAGATAATCACTGGGAGAACCTGACAAGTAGAGAAGTAGATAATCACTGGGAGAACCTGGCAAGTAGAGAAGTAGATAATCACTGGGAGACACTGGCAAGTAGAGAAGTAGATAATCACTGGGAGAACCTGGCAAGTAGAGAAGTAGATAATCACTGGGAGAACCTGGCAAGTAAAGAAGTAGAGAAGTAGATAATCACTGGGAGAACCTGGAGTCAGCAAGTAGAGAAGTAGATAATCACTGGGAGGACCTGGCAAGTAGAGAAGTAGATAATCACTGGGAGAACATGGAGTCAGCAAGTAGAGAAGTAGATAATCACTGGGAGAACCTGGAGTCAGCAAGTAGAGAAGTAGATAATCACTGGGAGAACCTGGAGTCAGCAAGTAGAGAAGTAGATAATCACTGGGAAGACCTGGCAAGTAGAGAAGTAGATAATCACTGGGAGAATCTGGAGTCAGCAAGTAGAGAAGTAGATAATCACTGGGAGGACCTGGCAAGTAGAGAAGTAGATAATCACTGGGAGGACCTGGCAAGTAGAGAAGTAGATAATCACTGGGAGAACCTGGAGTAAGCAAGTAGAGAAGTAGATAATCACTGGGAGGACCTGGCAAGTAGAGAAGTAGATAATCACTGGGAGAACATGGAGTCAGCAAGTAGAGAAGTAGATAATCACTGGAAGAACCTGGAGTCAGCAAGTAGAGAAGTAGATAATCACTGGAAGAACCTGGAGTCAGCAAGTAGAGAAGTAGATAATCACTGGGAGAACCTGGAGTCAGCAAGTAGAGAAGTAGATAATCACTGGGAGAACCTGGAGTCAGCAAGTAGAGAAGTAGATAATCACTGGGAGGACCTGGCAAGTAGAGAAGTAGATAATCACTGGGAGAACCTGGAGTCAGCAAGTAGAGAAGTAGATAATCACTGGGAGGACCTGGCAAGTAGAGAAGTAGATAATCACTGGGAGAACCTGGAGTCAGCAAGTAGAGAAGTAGATAATCACTGGGAGGACCTGGCAAGTAGAGAAGTAGATAATCACTGGGAGAACATGGAGTCAGCAAGTAGAGAAGTAGATAATCACTGGGAGAACCTGGCAAGTAGAGGAGTAGATAATCACTGGGAGAACCTGGAGTCAGCAAGTAGAGAAGTAGATAATCACTGGGAGGACCTGGCAAGTAGAGAAGTAGATAATCACTGGGAGAACATGGAGTCAGCAAGTAGAGAAGTAGATAATCATAGGGAGATCCTGGCAAGTAGAGAAGTAGATAATCACTGGGAGAACCTGGAGTTAGTAAGTAGAGAAGTAGATAATCATAGGGAGAACCTGGCAAGTAGAGAAGTAGATAATCACTGGGAGAACCTGGCAAGTAGAGGAGTAGATAATCACTGGGAGAACCTAGCAAGTAGAGAAGTAGATAATCATTGGAAGAAACTGTAGTCAGCAAGTAGAGAAGTAGATAATCACTGGGAGAACCTGACAAGTAGAGGAGTAGATAATCACTGGGAGAACCTAGCAAGTAGAGAAGTAGATAATCATTGGAAGAAACTCTAGTCAGCAAGTAGAGAAGTACATAATCACTGGAAGAACCTGGAGTCAGCAAGTAGAGAAGTAGATAATCACTGGAAGAACCTGGAGTCAGCAAGTAGAGAAGTAGATAATCACTGGAAGAACCTGGAGTCAGCAAGTAGAGAAGTAGATAATCACTGGGAGAACATGGAGTCAGCAAGTAGAGAAGTAGATAATCACTGGGAGAACCTGGCAAGTAGAGGCGTAGATAATCACTGGGAGAACCTGGAGTCAGCAAGTAGAGAAGTAGATAATCACTGGGAGAACCTGGAGTCAGCAAGTAGAGAAGTAGATAATCACTGGGAGAACCTGGCAAGTAGAGAAGTAGATAATCACTGGGAGAACCTGGCAAGTAGAGAAGTAGATAATCACTGGGAAAACCTGGAGTCAGCAAGTAGAGAAGTAGATAATCACTGGGAGAACCTGGAGTCAGCAAGTAGAGAAGTAGATAATCACTGGGAGGACCTGGCAAGTAGAGAAGTAGATAATCACTGGGAGAACATGGAGTCAGCAAGTAGAGAAGTAGATAATCACTGGGAGGACCTGGCAAGTAGAGAAGTAGATAATCACTGGGAGAACCTGGCAAGTAGAGAAGTAGATAATCACTGGGAAAACCTGGAGTCAGCAAGTAGAGAAGTAGATAATCACTGGGAGAACCTGGAGTCAGCAAGTAGAGAAGTAGATAATCACTGGGAGGACCTGGCAAGTAGAGAAGTAGATAATCACTGGGAGAACATGGAGTCAGCAAGTAGAGAAGTAGATAATCACTGGGAGAACCTGGAGTCAGCAAGTAGAGAAGTAGATAATCACTGGGAGAACCTGGAGTCAGCAAGTAGAGAAGTAGATAATCACTGGGAGGACCTGGCAAGTAGAGAAGTAGATAATCACTGGGAGAACCTGGAGTCAGCAAGTAGAGAAGTAGATAATCACTGGGAGGACCTGGCAAGTAGAGAAGTAGATAATCACTGGGAGGACCTGGCAAGTAGAGAAGTAGATAATCACTGGGAGAACATGGAGTCAGCAAGTAGAGAAGTAGATAATCACTGGGAGGACCTGGCAAGTAGAGAAGTAGATAATCACTGGGAGAACATGGAGTCAGCAAGTAGAGAAGTAGATAATCATAGGGAGAACCTGGCAAGTAGAGAAGTAGATAATCACTGGGAGAACCTGGAGTCAGTAAGTAGAGAAGTAGATAATCACTGGGAGAACCTGGCAAGTAGAGGAGTAGATAATCACTGGGAGAACCTGGCAAGTAGAGAAGTAGATAATCACTGGGAGAACCTGGAGTCAGTAAGTAGAGAAGTAGATAATCACTGGGAGAACCTGGCAAGTAGAGAAGTAGATAATCACTGGGAGAACCTGGCAAGTAGAGAAGTAGATAATCACTGGGAGAACCTGGAGTCAGCAAGTAGAGAAGTAGATAATCACTGGGAGAACCTGGAGTCAGCAAGTAGAGAAGTAGATAATCACTGGGAGGACCTGGCAAGTAGAGAAGTAGATAATCACTGGGAGAACATGGAGTCAGCAAGTAGAGAAGTAGATAATCACTGGGAGAACCTGGAGTCAGCAAGTAGAGAAGTAGATAATCACTGGGAGAACCTGGAGTCAGCAAGTAGAGAAGTAGATAATCACTGGGAGGACCTGGCAAGTAGAGAAGTAGATAATCACTGGGAGAACCTGGAGTCAGCAAGTAGAGAAGTAGATAATCACTGGGAGGACCTGGCAAGTAGAGAAGTAGATAATCACTGGGAGGACCTGGCAAGTAGAGAAGTAGATAATCACTGGGAGAACATGGAGTCAGCAAGTAGAGAAGTAGATAATCACTGGGAGGACCTGGCAAGTAGAGAAGTAGATAATCACTGGGAGAACATGGAGTCAGCAAGTAGAGAAGTAGATAATCACTGGGAGAACCTGGAGTCAGCAAGTAGAGAAGTAGATAATCACTGGGAGAACCTGGAGTCAGCAAGTAGAGAAGTAGATAATCACTGGGAGAACCTGGAGTCAGCAAGTAGAGAAGTAGATAATCATTAAAAGAAACTTTAGTCAGCAAGTAGAGAAGTACATAATCACTGGAAGAACCTGGAGTCAGCAAGTAGAGAAGTAGATAATCACTGGAAGAACATGGAGTCAG